TTTAGCTGAAGAAATTCCTCCTCATCTCAGTTCCCAAGGGTCGTCCCTTCACCAGGAGGCTGTGCCCTCAGGTCCTAGTCTCTCCTACTTGTGGAAATATCTCACCACATCCACTCTATACAGGCCTTTCAGTACTCTGTACATTTCATTGAGATTCCCCTTTTATCCTTCTAACCTCTATTGAGCAGATGGGACCTGAACCCAAAGCACGCAGAGGTGACTTCAGTTTAATATTTGTCTAAAATGCAAGTATTTATGGTCTCATGGCATGTTGAGGCTTGAGGCTTAAGTCCCTAATCTTACAAATCAAGAGGTAAACTTGTCACTAACTGAATAAGACAACCTCTTGTTTTGTTTGATATCCTCTAGTCCTAACCTGATATCAACTGAGTTTCCACAGATAGACATCTAACTTCAGTTTGTATTGGTATGTTATTGCTCTGTAATTACATTCGGTACCTTGTGCACTTTGAAATTAATCTTGAATTTTACAGAAGCTGCATGATCTTGCATTGTTTGCTGCACTGACCTATCAGTATATTATTGGTTCTTGTGTGTAGATTTAATTTGCTCTACACGCTTAAAATTGCAGTGGAAAAACATATTTATTGTCAAGAATTAGCTGTATATTTAAGAATACTAAAATTCATGTTATAGTCTATTAGCTACACTCCTATGTAAAATTGCTAGTATGAGTTCAGTTAACAGGCTGACTAATCCTTTAAAGAACAATATTTTCACAAGCCCATAAGTTACATGTTAAATTGGATTTTATTTTCATCTTGTGATGATACTGATGAGGGACTTGAGGCTGTTTTCGTTAGAGAGAAGAAGGTTAAGAGGTGACTTAATAGAGACATACAAGATGATTGGAGGATTAGATAGGGTGGACAGCAAGAACCTTTTTCCTCGGATGGTGATGGCTAGCACGACGGGACATAGCTTTAAATTGAGGGATGATAGATATAGGACAGATGTCAGAGGTAGGTTCTTTACTCAGAGAGTAGTAAGGGCGTGGAATGCCCTGCCTGCAAAAGTAGTAGACTCGCCAACTTTAAGGGCATTTAAATGGTCATTGGATAAACATGTGGATGATAATGGAATAGTGTAGGTTAGATGGGCTTCTGATTGGTTTCACAGGTCGGCGCAACATCGAGGGCCGAAGGGCCTGTACTGCGCTGTAATGTTCTATGTTCTATGGTGACTCTTATTTACATTGTACCTTTAACTTAGTTAAACATCCCTTCACAAAGTGGTAGATGCAGGTACAATTATAAAACATTTGGACAGGTACATGAATAGGAAAGGTTTAGAAGGATAAAGGCCAAATGCAGACAAATGGGGCTAGTTTAGTTTGGGAAACTTGGTCAGCATGGACGACTCAGACCAAAGGGTCTGTTTCTGTGCTGCATGACTCTATGAATCTACATGAAATCAAATCAAGTCAAATTAAATCAAATCTAAACACAATGGCTACAAGAGCAGACAGAGGCTAGGAATACTGCGGCATATAACTCACCTCCTCTCTCCCAAATGCCCGGTCCATCAGCAACAAGGCACAAGTCAGGACTGTGATGGAATACTCCCCACTTGCCTGGAAGGGTGCACGTCCAACAACACTCAAGAATCTTGACACCATCAGGGCATGTTGACATCATGTTGCAGTTGTACAGGACATTGGTGAAGCCTCTTCTGGAGTACTGTTTGCAGTTCTAGTCATCCTGTTATAGGAAGGATATTATTAAACAGAAGAGTGTTCAGAAAAGATTTACCAGAATGTTGGTGGGAATGGAGGGTTTGAGATATAAAATAGACTGGAAATACTAGGAATTTTTTCACTGGAGCATACAAGGTTGAGTGGTGACCTTATTGAGGTTTATAACATGATGAGGGGCATAAATAAGGTGAATAACAAGGATCTTCCCTTGGGTGGGGATATTCAAAACTGGGGGGCATATCTTTAAGGTGAGAGGAGAAAGATTTAAAAAGGACATGAGGGCAACTTTTTTATACAGAGTGATTTGTGTGTGGAATGAATGATGGATGTAGGTACAGTTACAATGTTTAAAAGACATTTGGATAAGTTCATGAATAGGAAAGGCTTAGAGGGATGTGGGCCAAGCATAGGCAGGTGGGATTAGTTTAATTTGGGAATATGATCAGAGTGGACAACATTGTACACTTCTCCCTGTACTTCTGTAGCCTGTACTTGAGTACACGTTACAATAACACCTAAATCTAAAAATAGCATTCAATTTCTTGTCATAATTACCTGCAGATTAATCTTTTATGATCCATGTAGTAGGACACCCAGATCCCTCTGAAACCCATCACCATTTAGATACTTTTCTTGTTGAAATGGACATTTTCACTTTCTCCCACCTGTATCAACATATGGTGGAATGAATTTGGTTAAAACTTCCATTCAGCAACAGGGGTTACTGATTATCCAGGAGGGTCAGGACCACAGGACATAGCAACCTTCAGCAACAGAAAGAAAAACTGAAACCACGTATATTTAACAGCTAGATCATTAACGTCTTCATTCAGACAGAAAACCACACATCTTGTTGTTCAGATTTCTTTTTATTTTCAACTTGCCACTAAGGTGAGCTTCACAAGAAATCAGTCCAAAATCTGTGCACAACCTCTATTCAAACAAAGCAGGGGTATCACTGGAAATGTGTGACCAGATTCACTGCTTGTGTCCATCTGTTTGTTTTCACTTTCTTACTCTAAACTTCCCAAAAGATGTTTCTGAAGGAAATCCAGTTACAAACGTAAAAGAAAACATATTATTAAAAACAAACAACAGATTTGTATATGCTTATTCAACCATGGGGAATATTTCACCTTTCAGAAAGAATGGTTATCTTCAACAAGATCTCAAAGTGTGATCATGATTGAGGGTACACAGCAGCTGTTTTCAGTCAGATCTGGTTGAAAACTGGCCAACACAATGCATTAATAGCTGGGAGTGCAGTAACAGGATCAGTTTTGATGCTAGTTTACCAGCTGGTTTTGTCTTCATTGAAGTCTCTGGACAGTACTATTGAACAGGGTGTGCCACTAATGTCCCACCCAATCCCATGGTTCTGCTTCATTTGTATCAAGTTAAAATTAATGTTATTTTCACACATCTCAAGCACTAAACTGCCACCATGCGAACTAATGGTTTAAGTTAACCACCTGCAGTTCAGCAAATCCGAACGGCAATAAACCAGTGGGGACTTCTGCAAATGTTCAGTTCAACTTCACTGATATCATAGGCCTCCTGCTCCCAGGCCTCACTGGCCCTGTCATGTTTGGTCCTCCTTACCAAGATAAGCCTCAAACATTTACCTGACTGTCTCACAACATCCACCCAGCTCACTCTGCCTGCCAACTCTCCTAATGCTGGGATCACCTATTCCTGGTTCACTTCCTGATCCACCTTTCTGACTTCAATTACCGATGGCAACATAGTTTCACCAACTCCACCTCTTTGAGCTCACAAAGCCCTCCTGGTATATCCCCCTCCTCAGCCAGGCTCCCAAGGAACCAGAAGCCAGGGTGGCTGATCGATTTTCTGTAAATTGATTGACTTAATCATCACTGCCCATGAAACGATGGATAATTTCCAAAGGAATTTGGCTGGTCACCCTAGGGAAATCTCAGGTACACAGCGAGTTTGTGGTGTGGGAGCAGGGGTTCTAACTGCGTTGCTCTGTTGCAAGTATGGGTTTGATATGTGGAATGGCCTACTTCAGTGCATTACTGTTCCATGAATCTTAGACAGGAGCATGTGAGCTGCTAACAAAGTCAGCTGTTGTCAAGGTAATGACCTTGGAGGTTCAGAATGAACCTGAAGCCTGATCTTGAGCAGTAGCAAAGTCTCAAAACTGGGAATGAAGGAAAACAAAACCTGTTCGATATTTTTATTCACTGGTTTAATCTCATCTAACCCCCATCAGTCTCCTGTTAACTGCTGCACAGGCTATTTTTGTACTACTTTTACTTATATTATTGAAAATACAAAAAGAATGTTTTGAGCAGACGTTACCTATAGAAAATATATTTTATATAATTTTCTTTCAGTTTACATCTCTTTCTACTTTTCTTTCCCAGATTAAAATATGTATAAAAACTGCCTAAACTAAAATAAAGTAATTCTTTATTTATTCTTTATTATTGATGAATAGTTTGCTTTACGGTTTCTTTTAGAAAAAAAGAACGAGCCTCCAGCTGCTGGTGAGGGGTTCAAACATAGTGGGAGGTCTGGGTTTGTCAGATTCTGTAAAATGTTAACTTTCCTTACAGGCCTCCTGCCCTAGGTGAGGCAATAATAACAGGGAGAGATGGAAAACAGATGCTTACTCCCTAACAACCACTCTGCAATCACAGGGTCCACAGCCACATAAAGCACTATCTGAAGTATTGAGCTTATACAGTTAGGATGCTAGTTTATCAAGAAGATTTTACAGGAACATTGAATGGAGGCAAAGGTCACAAACAGCTTGGAAATATGAATGGGAGGTTTCAGAAAGGAGCAAAGAGGTTTCATAGAATCCCTACAGGGTGGAAGTAGACCATTCAGGCCATAAGGTCCACACCGACCCTCTGAAGACAATCCCATCCAGACCCACTCCATCCCTGTAACCCTGCATTTTCCATGGTTAATCCACCTCGCCTGCACACTACAGACAATTTAGCATGTCCAATGCACCTAACCAGCACATCTTTGGACTGTGGGAGGAAACTGGAGCACCCAGAGGAAACCCACACAGACACATGCAAACTCCACAGAGATAGCCACCTGAGGCTGGAATTGAACCCAAGTCCCTAGTGTTGTGAGGCAGCAAATGTTAACCACTGAACCACCATACCACCCAGCTCATAATGATCTGTTTGACATCTATCCTTGGCAAAGTACTGGACATTAAGGAATCTACAATAATACTCGAGCAATGAAAGAGGGTGAGGAAAAGCAAAGACACCAAGAAATCCAGAAAGTCTATTAATTCCAAAAGAAATTATTTTAAAGTCTTAAAATTGATTACACAAAAATCAGTAAAAATGAACAATGAAAGGCCATGTATTGGGAGCTCATGCGACCAATATTTGAACAGGTGACACAGGTCTGAAGAGGTCAGCTGTGGTACCCAACAGGTGAGTGCTTCACATTACATTTTATAATCAAACATTCTGACTTTCAAGAAGAAATTAATACATTCGTATGAAAATGGGGCCCTGGACAAGTACTTTGAGAGGAAAACAAACTCAAATTCATTTTGAAAGCCTCCACACTTTAAACAATTGACCTATCAAAGTGTTCGGAGGTGGGTGGAGGGGTGGAAATATTTGCTGGATTAGGTAGCAACACAAGCAATTGCCCTCACCAACCTCTCCATCAACATCACAGAGGTGTGTGTAGGCTGAATTCAGTGGATATGTTGCACCCGCTGCAAAAGCGATGTTTGGCTCGTCCTTTAATAAGTGATAATGGCTCACACCAAACTCTTTCCAGCACACACATTATTTACTGTCAGTGTTTCTAAAAGTTACTTATAAATTACAGTACTAAAGTATTTTGAGTTGTGTAGGAAATAGGTGGCTGGTAAGTACAAGCGTGGACACTGCTGCTAGCCATTTTAGTGTGAGAATATCTTCACTTGCTGGGTTATCAGCTGTCCTGCAATAACACACAGAGAAACTGCATTCAAATGAGGGAAACATTCACCCACTAAACTATCATGGGGATTTCTAGGTAATTTAAAATGCTCCCCAATAATGACAAAAAAAAACTTTTTTATTAAAAAATATTAAGGGCTGACCTGGTGAACCGGGAGCAGCTCTCTACAATGCAAAGTGTACAAAAAGTAATTCTAATCATTTACAACTAGCCATTACTAAAGAAACTAGGCCACATTCTACATTTATACATTACATGTGACATATAGCTCATTATATTTACATTAACTTTACCTCTATAATTTATTTCCTATAAACACTATGAACATATTCAACATATAAATATTTAATGCTATACATGGAAAGCTTTGAAACACTAATTAATAATTATGTCAGTCAACACATAAGATATTCAAAAAGTTAGTTCTGCTTACTGACCATAACATTTTATACAAATGGAGATGTGTACTGGTAAACAATCAGAGCTTGGTTCCTACACAATCACAGGAATCTGCTGACAGGCCAGACACTCCACCCTGTTACATATTTTGTCAGTAGTGTGGGCATAAGCTAGTCCCGTTGGCTCCTATTTGGCTGCTCCAACACTGCTCCCACTTAAACCTGTGAGTCTGCTCCCAGGCTGTTGAGTTCCTCTGGGCCATGCTTCTCTGGTGAGTTAGCGCCCACACCCTGGCGGAAACCAGAGGCAATCTCATCAAATGTCCTTCCCTTGGTCTCGGGGACTTTGAAATAGGTGAATACGAAAAACAGAACCAACAGCACGGTGAAGATGATGAAAACGTAAGGTCCGCAGAGTAACTGTTTGAAAGGGAAAAGAAATATTTTGAATGAAAACGTTCGACACTTTTTGATACAATAATCACCAGTTACTGTTTATCAGGAACAACCTCCATATCAGACAAATAACGCTAACAGTTTTCTATCTCCATGGTAACAACTGTACAAAGCAAGATGGCTATTTTGTGTTGTTCGGAATTTACCCAACTTGAAAACTCAGCTGATTTCAGACAAGGTCACATCACTCCTGCAGCTTTAATTAAACTCTTCAATTTCAGTCTCCTGTTAATAGTGCATACAGACAGCTGGAAATGCCTGAGCTTGGTAACAGCCCCTCATATGAACAGCAGTTACCATGTGGAGACTTTGGGCAGCTGGTATTATTCACTTGGCAGGTAAATGGTGTCAGTGATGGCTATGCCAGGTTGGTATTACCACTGGGTTCCTTTGTTACATTGAAGCCCATTCTGCTAGATACACTTCCTCAGAGCTCCCCTGGGGACAGTGTAAAGCCTCACAGAATGAGAGGCCTAAACTGCACAAATGCCCTCTCAGGTCAACAGGATTGAAGCCACAAGTGTTCCAAATTGCAGTGAAACAACAGTGGTTAGCTCTGCTGCCTCACAGCACCATGGACCCAGGTTTGATTGCAGCCTCGGGAGACTATCTGTGTGGAATTTACATATACTCCCCGTGTCTGCGTGGGTTTCCTCCGGGTGCTCCAGTTTCCTCCCACAGTCCAAAGATGTACAGGCTAGGTGGATTAGCCATGGGAAATTGCCCGTAGTGTCCAGGGATATGCAGGCTAGGTGGATTAGCCATGGGAAATTGCCCGTAGTGTCCAGGGATATGCAGGCTAGGTGGATTAGCCATGGGGAATACAGGGATAGTGTAGAGGTGTGGGTCTGGATGGGGATGTTCTTCAGTTGGGTGGTATGGACTCGATGGGCCGAACGGTCTGCTTCCCCACTGTTGGGATTGTATGAAAATATCATGTGTAATCAATATATTTTTGTGTTGTGTTCGGCTTCACATCACCACCTCAAACTAGCGCCAATACTCCTGAAGCCATGACCAGCTTTAGGTGGCTATTTGAGTGCCTTCTCCAGACAAGTCCAGAGTTTTGAGCATGTGTCACTGATGGAACACTTCACCCCCCAGAGTTACATCATCTGCAATTCCCTTGCCAGCGCAACCTTCACTCAAGGTTCCCTGCTGATGCTAATAACAGCAATGCACCAAAACCGAGAAGAATTTGGTGTTATTTTAACTTGTGTTTGATTAGCTCAGACAACAATCCTGTTTTTTATTTACTACAGCATTCCTTCCCCTCCCTGTCATTTGCAATTAAACAAACACAGTGCACCCACCTCGACATACTGGAAACACATGCCAACAATGAAATTTGCTGTCCAGTTACACAAACCAGAGACAGCAATAGCAGCTGGTCTTGGTCCTTGACTGAACAACTCAGCGACAATAAACCATGGGATTGGGCCAGGTCCAATCTCAAAGAAGGCCACAAAACCAAAAGTGGCAATAATGCTGATGTAGCTCATCCAAGTCAGCTGGTCCTGCACAACAACAAAATATTGCATTTTTAATATTTTATGCTCACAACAATCAAACTCTTCAAATATAAACTGGTACAAGTTCTCCCAGGTGATTTTTATTTCACATCAGGATTGATTTCTTTGTTGTGTTTCTGTGATCTCCTTCTATTGTGAGCCTTGCCAAGTGAAACCATGGAGCTGGGGCTCTGTGCAATAGCACTTCAGTTCCTGGGAACAAGGCTTTCATCAGTAATCATCCCTCTACGCACTTCCATCTGACAAACTTGGTAATGTACCAATGGATAAGTTTCACACTCAGCTGATACCAAGAATGGAGGGGTGTATTACAAGGAGAATAGATTGGGCCTGTACTCATTGGAGTACAGAAGAATGGGAGACAATACACGATTCTTAGGGGAGTTAACAGAGTCGATGTAGAGAGGTTGTTTTCCCTTGTGGCAGAGTCCTAGGCCAGGGGGTATCATCTCAGAATAAGGCAGAGATGAGGAAAAATTTCTTCCCTCAGAATGCACTGAATTTATGAAATTCAATTCTGCAGAGGGCTTTAGAGGTTGGGTCATTAAGTATATTCAAGGCTGAGACAGACAGATTTTTACTCAGGAAGGGAATCAAGGGTTATTGGGAAAAGGCAGGAGAGTGAAGTTGAGGAATTTCACATCAACCGAGATCTCATTGATTGGCAGAGCTCAGTGACCAGCTGAATGGCCTCCTGCTCCCATGTCTTATGTAAAAACTAACAATGAAAGCACAACTGTTGGCACATTCAGTTACTATGCTGGTCACGTCAACAATCCTGCTGGATTCAAAGTTTCTTTTCAAAAACCAAAATAACCTCAGAGATTCTTCACGTTTTCAATTCTCTGCAGCAGTTTCATTGGATCTCTGCCAGTGGAACCTTTTCCAGTTCATGTAAAATTAATCAACATCTGGATCCTACTTTTAGTTTCTACTTTTAGGAACATGGGAACAGAAGGAGACCATTCTGCCCCTCAAACCTGCTATTCCATTCAATAAGACCATGGTTGATTAGGTTATGGTAAGATTTGTAAAATCTGCATCTCCATTCCAATTATCACCCTGGCTCCTTAGGAGCCCCTCACCCAACATTAATCTATTTTGTTAAATTTTCAATTGATCCACAATCTCAAAATGGAAGGGGAGGACTTCCAGATTTCCACTCCCCTTGATGTGAAGAAATTCTTTAGATGTCACACTAAAGACCTTGCTCTAATTTTTAATGTAATGTCTGTTCATCACCAGACAAACAGTTTCTCTCCATCTACACTATCAAATCCTTAATGATCTGAAATGTTTCAGTTTCATTGCCATCTACTATCAATGGAATACAAGCCTAGTACATGAGTCTGTCTTTATTATCAAGTTCTTTTAGCCCTGGGATCATTCTTGTAAATACCTTCCTGAATAGTCAAAGGTCTAAGCACAACCGCTCTGAGCCACAACTATTGCAAACTGGAACTAAAAAAACTGGTGAGTGAAGAAATGTAGCAGCCAAGCAGTCTCTCAAAATGATTTCAAACATTTTACATCTCATGATTTATCTCACAGAATACCAATTTTCTTCATATCATAGTACAGGAGGCTACTGTGCACTTCCTGTATGTGCCAGCGTTTTAAAGAAGCTATTCAATCATTACAATCACCCCCCAACCCCATCCAGTCTGCAGTTCATTTCTTGTGGATTTACCTCATTGGTCTTTTCAGGAATATATCCAGTTCCCTTACTGTATTAAATCTCAGCAGTATTCTTATTTTACAGAAAGCACTCAGAACACTGAGGATTTGTATTCTGTAATCAATCATTTGGGTGTTTGCTAATAAGGAAACAAAGACTTTTACAGAGCTTTATTCCTGAAAATTCAAGGCCACTGAACAGTTAGTGAAATAAATTGGATAAAATCCATTATTGGATAAGTGCGTCACATTCTGTGCAAGGAGGGGATTTGATGGGTTTTATGAGCTTTGTTTTGTTCCATATTTTTTATCTCCTTTCCTTGAAGATTACTTGGAACATTATCCCACAACTGAGCAAATTAGTCAAAAACAATCTCTTTTGATGTGACAGCTAACTTATAGTGATCATTTATTTTTTTAAAAAATACATCTGTCAAATTAATTTCTGTTAATTGCCTCTTGTTAGCCAATACAGAGAAACAACTCACAAACTCTCAACACGCATGCACTCACTCACACACAGTTATTCACACACACATACAAACACCCTCACATTCAAACACATATTCACACACACACACCATGCGCGCACACACACACACGCAATAAGTCTCTTACCAGAAGGACAAGTGCAATGGTCATCAGGATCGCACAGATGGCCATGCCTGCCAGGCCAATCAGGTGCAGTGTGCGTCGTCCAGCGCGCTCCACCACAAACAGCTAGAGGGAAATAAAGACATCACAATGAAAACAGCGGCCTAGAGAAACATTGGGTTTTGCCTTCATTGTAAAGAGAATTCGAGTACAGGAGCAAGCATGTCTTGCTGCAATTATACAGGGCCTTGGTGAGACCACACTCGGGTATTGGGTGCAGTTCTGGTCTCCTTACCTGAGGAAGGATGTTCTAATAATGGAGGGAATGCAGTGAAGGTTTATCAGATTGATTCCTGGAAACAGCAGGATTAATGTATGAGAAGAGACAGGATCAGCTTAGACTATATTCACTGCAGTTTAGAAAAATAAGGGGGATCTCATAGAAACCTATAACAGGACTAGACAGGGTATACACAGGAAGGATGTTCGCAATGACCAGGGGAATCCAGAACCAGGGAGTCACAGTCTAAGATACAGGGTAGGCCATTTAGGGCGGAGATGAGGAAAAATGTCTTCACCCGGAGAGAGGAGAGCCCATGGAATTCTCTGCTACTGAAAGCCATTGAAGCCAAAACATTGAATGTTTTAAAGAAGGAATTAGATATAGTTCTTAGGGCTAAAGGGATCAAAGGGTACGTGGCAAAAGTAGGAACAAGGGACTGAGTTGGTTGATCAGCCATGAATGGTGGAAGGGGTTTGAAGGGCTGATTAGCTTACTCCTGCTCCTAGTTTCTATGTTTCCACGTTACAGATGCAGCATGCTGTACAAACTGGCAGAGCAGACGGAGGCACACAGCCTGAATATTGAGCCAAATCTGTCCTCGGTTCTCATCAGCGTATCTTCACCACAAGCTACAAGTAACACCTGGTTGCCAGAAGATAGACAGTGCCTAATGTGAGTCGACAATAATCTCCAGGGAGGTGGGCAGAGTGTACCAGTTATGACCATAGTGGTAATGCCTGCAGTAACAGTACCACCCCGATACCACATGGCATTGAATACAGACCAAGGTGTTTTGCTGTAGGCTGACACACCCCTGCACATTTCCAGAGAAGGAGCTGAAAAGCCTAAAATGTGCTGCCCTGGGCCCCTGCTGCTCAGTCCCAATGAGTTCCCACCCTGAACCAGCTGCTAGCTGAGAATTCAGTTTATAAAAGGGGGCAAACACCTGACTTGGGAAAGTCGTTGGGAATATCGAAGCTCCACTGGACCTAATACAGCACTGGGTACAGGACACAGGTCACAACACTGATTTCTACACCCATCCTATTCTCCCAAAAACATCACAGAGGGAGCCAAATCCTACCCCAGAGAAATGTATTTCCTTCACTCTGCTAAAATGAGCAAATGTAATGCATTAAATTTCCTAAGAAGCTTTAATCTTTGCCATTGTCTAAAGAAATATTCTCTCTTTGTCTTTTGCTGGTCTGCATTTCCATTGAAGCTACATAATGCACCTGCCTGTCAGCCCTCACCTCTAGAGAGAAGTTCATACATGTAGGCCTGGACAGTCAATGCTAATGGCAGTCACATGAAGACCAAGTGGTCCCTCCCCAGTGTCCATTCATGTGTAAGAACCAACAGAGCTGGCCTACATCATAGTGAGGATCTCCCCAATCCTGAATGATCTCATTGGAAAGCAGTTGAAATATCAGTGACCACTGTGGTCCAATCCCACACTGAGCTGATTGACTGTACCCTTGGAGACTCCTGATGCACATTTTGAGTTTAATTTTTAACCCTGCAGCACAGTACAGGTGGGGAATTCAAATCATGACAGAGTACTTACTGATACAACAGTGAAAGCGGTGTTCACCACACCAGACCCAATGGTGGCATAAACAGGCTGCTCAACACCAGCTTTTTCAAAAATACTTGTCGAATAATAGAAAATCTGCAGGAAGAATAAAACACATTTTGAGAAAACACTGACATAAATGATGGTCCTTTTGGCATTTAGAATCTCAAAATCACATGTTTCCAGAAGAGATTTGTAGCGATTGTAAGAAGGTCAGCCAGCTGGACATTATTGATTAGGAATTCCCTGATTGAGGCTGTTAATCTGGTCCAAATCAGGGAGTTCTGGCTGACAGATAAAAAGGGAGAGAGTGTCAGAGATACTGACACTCAGAGCTGGCTCTGTATGAGGCAATACTAAAGTCAAGGACTGTCCATGTGTAAATATAGGGTGACTTGGTGACAGAATACCAGCCTCTGTGGAGTTACATCGGAAATGAAGGAAAATCTGATCATTTGCGCAAGCCAAATAAATAATGAGAAAGCAAAGATTTAGGGAACAGAACTTCCAATTAGTGCAGGACTCAATCACAAGACAACCTTGTAGATTTGTTTGTAACGGGAAAGTGAAGCTCAGAGGCTTTGCACCAAACCTACGCCTTATTTTCCCAGAAGAAGCTCCAAAAAGAACCCAAGGATCTGGGTAGGGAACTCAGTGGGCAACTGGGTTTACCAGTTATCTTGTGAACCCTTCACTGCCCAAATTGCCAAGAAAAGCAGGGGAATCTTCATAACAAACTGTAAACATTAACATATCTGGACGGTGTGCATCATTGTATAAGGCAGAGGTCAGACACCATTCAGAGTTCTAAGATTACCCAATTACCTTATCCAATTATGTCTCTTGAGTGAGGGCAAGAAAGATCATTCGGGGCATCAGGAAGCTGGCTTTCTTTTGAAAAGGGGAGACTTCGAGCTGCAACATTTTTTTCCAGATTATGAAGTGATTGGTCCAAATGGGTTGTTACAGCAAAGACACACACACAATAAACGTGGAAATTGAACAGAAATAGAAATTACAAACGGATTTGTAAAATAAAGGTGGCAATAGGAATAAGTTCAAGAGACGATGAGATGAATTTTTGAAGAGACAATGAATTATGGGAAATGATGAGAAGGCAGTGATTGGGAGCTAGGTACCAGGAAAGGACAGGCTCCATGGCGTGAGCAATCCTTGTCCTTTGACAGAGTGTTTTGCTGGTAAATACTCACAGCATTGATACCGGACAACTGCTGGGACAATTGCAACACGATTGCAATGACAATGGGCTGGCGATACATCGGGGAGCGGAACAGTTCAGGAATTGTGACTTTCTTCTCTCGCATCATCTGCCTGCTCTCTTCCTTCATCTCCTGCAGGTCACTGCTCACATCTGTTGTCCCACGGAGCTTCTTCAGAACTGAAAATATTTGTGCGTTATTTTCAGGAATATTAATCCACTAACCCATTAAAATTGTAATAAGCATGGCTTTCTGTTTATTGAATTCAAGTTGACATACTCGGGGCAATACGGCTGACATGGAAATTAGCAAAGCCTGGGCCAATTTCCCAGGAATGTCAAAGTGGCAAATCCTCTCAACAGCTCCAAGAACATGTGTAAATCTTCAGTGTCTTTCCCAGGAGTATTCAACATTCTCAGCCTAAACAGGAGTGTCCACTGAGTCACTGTCATAAATCCATCAGAACCAAGGCCACTGACATGCACATAGGTACCTTTCCTTGCAGGAACTGATGGACACCAATATGGTGCAAGAATCCCAGATGGGATTTACCCTCCCCAGCATTTACACTCCGACACTGCAGTCCAAACTTGAAAGCAGTACAAATGAAGGATCAGACTTGGAATTACACTGGCTCAGTATTTGCATTTCCATCGAGACACTTCTCAAGCCAAGGAAGTCAACTTTACATTTTATGAGCGTGCCACAAAAAAAACATCCTGGCTGGGGTAGGGAATTGGTGCATTACCAGGTTGTTGACTTTGGGATGAGTGTTTAAACTAAAGCTTATTCCACACATGCAGATTGATCTACCTAGTCACACCACTTAAACAACAAGGATGACTAACTGATTGAGTTAATATTGCTTTCTCAATCAGAAGCAGATTAACTATATATTCATCTCACTTCTGTTTATGGGATGTTATTGCAGATAAATTAGTTACTATCAATGATACGAATGGGCAAATTAGCACTTCATTGGTTTCTAAGTGCTTTCAGACTTGGAGCAGCTGTAAAGTGCTTTAGTAACACTATTACCTTATCTGTATTTTTCTAATAGGTACCTAGTACAAGCCAAACACTACAGAGATGTGTATGCAATGCACCATGACAAGCAATCAAGTAATGAAGACTTTTTTGCAAAAACGGACAGACTTGCATTTCTATAGTACGTTTACTGACTTCAGGATGCCCCAAAGCACTTTGCAGCCATTTTGAAGAGTAGTCACAGAGTCATACAGCACAGAAACAGACCCTTCGGTCCAACTCATCCATGCTGACCAAACTAGTCCAATTTTTCTGCATTTAGTCCCTATTCCTCTAAACCTTTCCTAATCATGTACCTGTCCAATTGCCTTTGAGATGTTGTATTTGTACCTGCATCTACCATTTCCTTTTGGCAATTCATTCCATACATGCACCACCCTCTGAAAACGTTGCCCTCCAGGTCCCTCTTAAATCTTTCATCTCTCACCTTAAACCTGTGTCCTCTAGTTTTGAACTCCCCTACCCCGGGAAAAAGACCCTTACTGCTGAAGTCCAGTAAACACAGCAGCTTGTTTGCACACAGCAAGCTCTCAAACTGTGATAATGAGCAGACAATCTGACTAAGTCCATCACAACTTCAAACACCTACCCTAAGTCTCCCTCCCTCAACTCTACATTTACTGAAATGTAGCAGCAGTGTGCTATCTGCGAGATGCACTGCAGAAATTCACCAAAGATCCTCCGACAGCACCTTCCAAACCCATGACCACTTCCATCTAGAAGGACAAGGGCAGCAGATACATGAGAACACCACCACCTCCAAGTTCCCCTCCAAGCCTCTCACCATCCTGACTTGGAAATATATCAACGTTCCTTCACTGTCGCTGGGTCAAAATCCTGGAATTCCCTCCCTAATGGCATTGTGGGTCAACCCACAACAGATAGTTTGTAGTGGTTCAAGAAGGCAGCTCACCACCACCTTTTCAAGGGGCAAGTAAGGACAGGTAATAAATGTTGGCCCAGCCAGCAACACCCACATCCTACAAATGAATAAATTTTTATTAAAAATGTGGGTCTATGCTCCCGCTAAAGTCCTCCAGCATTCCCACAGCAACCAGCCAACCTCATTCCCTCATCTGTAAACTGACGACTGTGTTTTCTCACCTTACCCAGTGACCCACAAACAGATGAAAGCCCTCGTGCTGTAAGTTTGTAAAATGTTGGACTACTTGGATATGTAGTCTCAAACAAAAAAAAGTCTCTTTACTGGCGAGAGATTAAACAATGCTGCGATGTTAACATGTAATATCTCACCATTCTTTGCCTTGCTTTCTTCATTCTTGTTGATGAGCAGGAAACGTGGGCTTTTTGGACAGAATGGTAAAGCAATACACTGTAAGAGTGCCGGCAGGAACAGGAACCCAAGTAGCAATGGCCAGAGGGATTCATTTCCCATGATAGAGTCCAACCCAAAAATCTGTAAATACAGGGAAAGATTATTTCAAGTTCATTCCATCTGAAAATTCGGAGTGAAAACTGTTTCTTGAGGTTAAAAAAGTCACAACAACCTCTCATATTAGAGTTGAGCTTTCTCTGCACCTTCTCTGTAGTTGTAACACTATATTCTGCATTCTGTTCTTATTACCCTGATGTACTTGTGTAAACTATGATTTGCCTGAATCGCACAGAAAACAGTACTTTTCACTGTATCTCGGTACATGTGACAATAATAAATCAAATCAAATCTTAGAAAAATAAAATTGGGAAGGGTTGGTTATGAAGACTTTTACAAAGGTTCACAACTTCTGCAAATCTTCACTGTAGCTCTGACTAGATCAATAATCCGGGCAGGACATTACTGGTATTGATAAACTCCTCCATCCCTTTGCTCCATTAATCTGCCAGGCTCTGATCACCTTCATAGTGGCATTTCTATGGCACAATCCCAGAGGAATCAGAGAAACAGCCTGTGATGCCAGGAGGATTCTTTGGAAACAAGTGGCATTTATTTGTAAAGTGCACTTTGAATTTACAATGACAGTAATTCCCAAGTGAAGATCAGTGATTTTAGCTGTGGCCAAGTCATATAGAATGCTTGTGACTGATCAGTAACAAATGCCTGAGCTTAAAAAAAGTTGCACTGAAATATCAAAGCTGGAATCTGTGGATGATGTGAAATTGCTCATCGTGTTCGGGGACATGCAGGCTAGATGGATTAGCCAAGGGAAATGCAGGATTACAAGGATAGGGCGGGAGAGGTGGGATGCTCTTCAGAGAGTCTATGTAGACTCAGTGGGCTGATTGGCTTGCTTCCACACTGTAGGAAGAAGGGTCCTGACCCAAAACATCAGCTTTCCTGCTCCTCTGATGCTGCCTGGCCTGCTGTGTTCCTCCAGCTCCAAACTGTTATCTCAGACTCCAGCATCGGCAGTTCTTACTATCTCTGTAGGGATCCTATGATTCTATGATACTCTGGACAGTTTGCCAAGACTATAACCAATTACAGGAAATGGGAAGCAGACACACATTGGTATAGTAAAGATTATATTGCTCACCTGTGCAATGAGAATTCCAATGACAATTCCCAGCTGATGTAGAGTACCGAGAGCTCCTCTCAAAGCCGTGGGAGAGATCTCCCCGACATACATGGGAACAAAACCTGTGGTTAAACCACAGTAAATGCCAATAATGAGCCGTCCCAGTATAAGCATTTCAAACGAGCTGGCCAGTTTAGAGAATCCCATGAGAGCGGCAGCAATGAATGCTAGGCCATTGATCATCAACATGGAATTCCGCCTGGGTTAAGGAACAAACACCATTTTTTAAAATGAATAAGAAATAGATCTTGCAACCTACAAAGTACTTAATCTTTCAATAGAACAGTTAATGTATCAGATGAAATTTGACAGGGCTCAGGATTATAAATAGTCATTAACTAGAAATATATTTTGGATAATCCATGGGTGAGTTGATTCCTCTGGATATTTATTTCTAAATGTAATTAAGAACTGACAAATTCACAAATGACAAACAAACAGAACCAGTAATTTTTTTGGAATGCTTTTCAATTTATTTTCATACTTAATTATAAAACAGGCAACAGTAACACTCAGGAAGTACACTACTGTTGTAAAATATTCATGTTATACATTAACAAACTGGATGAAGGAACTGAGGGGGTCGTTGCTAAGTTTGTAGATAGCACAAAGATAGCTGGAGAGGCAGGTAGTGTTGAGGAAGCAGGGACTCTGCAGAAGGACTTGGACAGGCTGGGAGAGTGGGTAAAGAAGTGGCAGATGGAATATAGTATGGGATAGTGTGAGGTTATGCACTTTGGTAGGAAGAATAGAGGTGTAGAAGAAAAAGGTTTACAAGGATGATCTTGGGAATGACAGGCTTATCACATGGGGAGTGATTGAGGACTTTGAGTCTGTAGTCAAATGGAGTTTAGAAGGATGGAGGGGATTCTGATTGAAACTTGCAGAATACTGAGAGGCCTAGATAAAGTGAATGTGGAAAAGATGCTCCCACTAGTAGGAGAGACTAGAACCCAAGGTCACAGCCTCAGAGTGAAGGGATGACCATTTAGAACAGAGATGAAGAGGAATTTCTTCAGCCAGAGGGTGGTGAATCTGTGGAACTCATTGCCACAGAGGACTGTGGAGGCCAGGTCGTTGAGCGTACATAAGATAGAGATAGATAGGTTCTTGATTGGTAAGAGGGTCAAGGATTAGAGGGAGAATGAGTTTGACAAACATATCAGCCATAATCGATGGCTGTAAACCTTTTTTCGTACATTTCGCTGTAAATAGCAGAATCAGTGGGCCAAATGGCCTAATTCTGCTTCTTCAACTTATGATGTTATTGAAAAGTTGTTACAACTGATAATTAACTACAGTATACTGAAAAGAGGTTGAAGCCTTTATCAAACAGAAACAGAAAGTACTGCGAAAACTCAGCAGATCTGGCAGCATCTGTGCAGGCAGAAACAGAGTTCATGTTTTCAGTCCAGTGACTCTTCTGCAGAACTGAAGCCTTTATGTTGCTCATGGGACAAAAACTCAAAATTAGCGGTTCAGTGAAGTTAAATTTATACCCAAATGAGGTCAAATAGCTCAGTAAAGGACTTTATATTCAGAAGAAATGTACAGTGCAGAAATGGATACTACAGAATAATTATCATAGAGTAAAATTCCTATCCTCTTAATAAAAATCTCTTCATTATGAATCGACTGTATAATTAATAAAATATTGAATAGTGAGGTAGATCAATAAAGTTGAAGATCACAAACATTCCCTTCTGTTTTTTCCCTCTCCTCAGCCCTTCCCTACTCTGGTCTTGATTATAACTAATCGTATCTCTAATTCTTTCCAGATCTGATGAAATTTTTGATCTAAACCATTAGCTCAGTTTCTCTCCTCACAGAAATTGCCAGAATCAAAGAATTTTCAGGTTTTTCTCAGTTTATTTAAGGTTCCCAACATCTTTGGTGAAGTGATGATCAAAATTGGTAAAATAATCTGAAGGAACAACTACTTACTAACTTATTAGGATGAGGGATAATAGATATAGTTACATAAAAGTCTATAAATGTTAATTACTGCTAGTCAGCCTGCCCTAACTACGACCAGATAAGCATTTCATCAGATTTATTGCAAACTCAGTCTTTGAACAGGACAAGGTGAAATGAAAGATGTAACTGTTGAAGGCTGGTACATCATGCTAAATAGCAGACAAACCCATTTCTCTCATGGGTGAGGGACAGCTTTGATTGTTGACAAAATTTTGCTGTTTCATTCTGATGGTGCAACACTATTTAATCCTCAGTTTGGACTGAATAAGTCAGAGAAGGGACTCATCCATGGGTTGAGCTGTAATTATTCAAACAAAAGCTATGTCATTTTCTACTGCTCGGTCAGGAATAGAAACATAGAAACTAGGAACAGGAGTGGGCCATTCAGCTCTTCCAGCCTGCTTCACCATTCAATATGATCATAGGTGATCCTCTAAATTAGTGCCACATTCCACTTCCCCTCCATATCACTTTAAAATCTAAAAGCTCATTTATCTTTTTCTTTACTATATTGGAGAGACTTGGCGCCCACAGCTTTCTATGGTAGAGAATTCCACAGGTTCACTATCCTTTGATGGGAAGAAATTTTTCCTTATCTCAGTTCCTGAGGCTGTGATCTTGGTTCTAGGAAACATCCTCCCTGCACCCTGTCTGCCAAGTCCTATCAGAATTTTATATGTTTCAATCAATTCCCTCACATCCTTCTAAACTCTAGTGAATACTGGTTCAAATTACTGGTCCTATCTCTGGTGGAGAATAATTGACAGAAGAGAGGAGTTGCCACACCAGAGTGATAATACACAAAGTTTTGTGAAAATGTACTTGTTAACTACAAATATTTTCCCTCAAACTGCGTCAGGCTTTCTGATTTTGCAAAGTCACAAATCAGACACTGGGATATTAGATTATGAGTTGGGGAACGTCTTGAACGTATTAGAAATTGGAAATTTCATGATACAAAAGTTGGTTGAGTTATGGATAGTGAGGAAGGTTTCCAAAGGATAGAGCAGGTTATAGATTAGTTCAAAAGTTGGGCAAAGAAATGGCAGACGAAGCTTAATCCAGACAAGTATGAGGTGATGCATTTTGGGATGTCAAATGCAATACGAAAGTATACAGTAAATGGCAGAACCCTTAGGAGCATCAATATCATCATTTATATAAATGATTTCAATGTGAATATAGGAGGTATGGTTAGTAAGTTTGCAGATGACAACAAAATTGGAGGTGTGGTGGACAACGAAGAAGGTTACCTCAGAGTACAACGGGATCTTGACCAGATGGGTCAGTGGGCTGAAGAGTGATAGACGGAGTTTAATTTAGATAAACGTGAGGTGCTGTATTTTGGAAAGGCAAATCAGGGCAGGACTTATGCAGTTAATGGTAGGGCCCTGGGGAGTGTTGCCGAACAAAGAGACCTAGGGGTGCAGGTACATAGTTTCTTGAAAGTGGAGTCTCTGGCAGAAGGATAGTGAAGGCGGCTTTTGGTACACTTGCCTTTACTGGTCAGTGCATGGAGTATAGTAGCTGAGGTGTCATGTTGAGGCTGTACAGGACATTGCTGAGGTCATTTTTAGACTAACGCATTCACTTCTGGTCTCCCTGATATTAGAAAGATGTTGTTAAACTTGAAAAGGTTCATAGAAGAATTACAAGGATGTTGCCAGGGTTGAAGGGTCTGAGCTACAGGGAAAGGCTGAACAGACTGGGGATATTTTCCCTGGAACGTTGGAGGCTGAGGGGTGACAATCATGAGGGGCATGGACAGGCTGAATGACAAGGTCTTTTCCCCAGGGTGGGGGAGTCCAAAACTAGAGGGCATAAGTTTAAGGTGAAAGGGGAAGATTTAAAAGGGACCTAAGGGGCAACATTTTCATACAGAGGGTGGTGCATGTACGGAATGCAGTGCCAGAGGAAGTGGTGGAGATGGTTACAATTGTGACATTTAAAAGGCATCCGGATAGGTACATGAATAGGAAGGGTTTAGAGGGATATGGGCCAAATGGGACTGGATAAGTTAAAAATATAGTTATACAGTCATAGAATCATAGGGTTGTACAGTACAGAAACAGACCCTTTGGCCCAACTCCTCCATGCCGACCAGATATTCTAACTTGATCATGGTCAGCACAGACATGGGGCTGAAGCAGCTATTCTTATGTGGTACTGTTGTATGTTGTTAAATATATCAGTTGCATTGCACACGTTACCTTCCAAATCGGTTGACGAACAGTCCTACTGAAAATGATCCAATCATACCACCCACTGAGAAAATAGCAACAGCCAGAGACCAAATTGTGGTGAGCATTGATGCTTCAACAGGTTCATTGTAACGTTGTATCCAGGTATAATTAATAAACCCTTCAATAACCTGAAAGAGAAATCACCAAGGTTAAAGAACATAACAGATGAAATATAGATATCAAAACATTTTAGAAGTCTAGACACTAACAGTCTCCATTAACAGCTATTCACTCTCCCAGTCAGATTGTTATCCACTCCCTAGCCTGTCCAATTGCACTGCTCTCTCTTTGGGCTGTAACCCCACCTATCATTTACTCCTTACCCCCTAACCCCACCCTATTTTCTGCATATAAACCGTCATTTTCCTAGCTACCATCAGTCCGGAGGAAGGGTCACCAAACCTGAAACATTTAACTCTGATTTCTCTCCACAGATGCTGCCAGACCTGCTGGGCTTTTCCAGCAATTTCGTTTTTTGTTTCTGATTTACAGCATCCCAGTTCTTTCTGATTTTTATTTAGATGTTTTGTTCTGAATTGCAGTATCTTTAATGGAAATGGACAACTCACTTCCAGAAGATAGAGTAAACTATGACACCTTGGTCTGATTAAAAGGGGTCATACACAAATGAATGCAATGCCGAAGTTTAATTCTGGAGATAAGTTTATATATAGTGCAAGTATATTGAGAGTGCCAAATGCTGAAAAAATAGTTAAATCTAAATGCTGATAATGATGGATGTTTGAGTAATATTACGACCCTTCCTTTTGAACGGGGGAAGCGGGAAGGGTTAGTGAAAAAAGTAACATGTAGCAAGACAACAAAATGGATGCTGCTTTTTGAACCTCATCCTCTCACTAGGTGGCACAAGTGTGCCATTTGCTGAGAATAATCCATGTCCTTCAACACCGCACAGCTTTCATTCTTTTGTGCTTTATCTACTTGCATTGACAGAACTGGAGTTTCCATTTCATAAAAAAAAAGGTCACAGCAAAAGGATATCTTCCTGGTTCTACACTTGTTACCATCTTGGTTTGGCACTGCCCACACCCCGGCAGGACACATTGCTAATGTCTCTGGTTTCATATCAGGCGCTGACTCAATAATCACAAAGATGTTGGCATTTAGGTAGTAACCTTTGTCTTTGGCTTTGGCAACTGCATTTTCTAAATTCCCTGTCATTACTGTGAGCACTGTCTCACCCATTTTAAACACACTAACTAATTCATGGTTGATGCAACAGAATGAACAACTGTGCAGTAGTCACCACACCTTGAATTTGAACTGATCACCCTGTGTCATTTTGGCTACTCTGACACGCTAGTGCCTTTCTCTCTAGTTTCCTGGTAACTGCATGAATGGAACTGTTTTCATTCTTCGGAAAATTCCTAGTCAAATACCATGTTTACTTTGTAACAGAGCAGGCTACACAATCACTAAGGCACTCTTCCTCACAAATATTTACATACATGTGTGATTCTTAAAACCTAAATATTTTCATATTGTAAGAAATAAAGAAAATCAATTGCCAGTTGGAAAATAAATATTTTGGATTTTCATGTACGCAGTAAAACTTCATTTTGTACACAGTGAATTTGTTCTTCATGATATCACCAGCAAGTCATCAGAAACCAGGAGATTTTTGTATTTCAGAAATCATCATTGGAACTAATTATCATTTGCCAACTGTTTAGCTACGCTGTGTAAAATTTCTGTGGGAACTGTTTGACCATGTATTTATTCACTTATTTTAAAGAGATTAACTATTTTATAAGGTTAAGCCTAGATATTTAATGCGAATGAGCAAGCTCGATAAGACATTGTGCTTTCATGTACAGGACAGGAACTTGAATCCTGCCCAAACTTTTTATGTGGAATGAAAGCTTGGGCAGATCCAGACAATGTGTCTGTAGCTCAAAGCTGACCATAATTGCACATGATTGGTGATAAACAAACAGAAAATAAATTTGGAGGCTGCTGTCAGCAATTGAAGGCATATTTGTTTTCTTTGGAAAATGCGATTTCTGATCTAATAGTGGAGATCCATTCTGTAAACTGCAGTAACTGAGGTCAGAAGTCACACCAGGTTATAGTCCAACAGGTTTATTTAAAATGACAAGCTTTCGAAGCATTGCTCCTTCGTCAGGTGAAGTCACCTGATAAACAGTTCTAAGTCAGTAAAGGGGGCAGTTATGATCTGTGCAGTTTCTACCTGAGACTCTAACCTTGAAAGCAGAGGGACAGAAACAATATGAGCCACATGCAGGAATGTTCAGGGTCCCAAAACAGCCACCATTTCATAAATGGATTGAGATGAATATCCTTCATCCTGCCAAGTTAATGTAACAAATTCCACAATTGTTTCTTGCACATAGTTTTCTGTTTTATCTAGTAACTTTGCTTTTCAGAGTCAAGATTCTAATAATAGATTCAGATCATAGAAAGACAGTTTAACAGCAGCAGTTTTAGACAAAAGACGTTGTTCTCAATTTCAATTAGAGGTTACTTTTCAAAACAGTAGCATTTCATTCTCTTTAAATGAGATCATTAGAATTGGTGACATAAAAAAACAGGCTGGAAAACCAACTTCAAAATCCTCATATCAATACCATCTGGAAGCTTCTCTCTATGCACAGCTGAATACATTGTGTCCCATTGATTTGATCGATGAAATTCTATTTTGAGGCCCTGTCCTCTGTGTATCATAAGACCTAATTGATCCAATTGTTAACCCACTGCTGTGCTGATAGAAAGAACACCAAGCAGAAATATTATTTCAGGAGGATAACATACCACAGTCACTTTATTCTTGCTCTGTTAATGTTTTAAAGAAACAAACATTACAACTTTAAAATCAGTGATTTTATACCTAAGTAATAACTAATCAATCCGAAAACATTATACTTCCAAAGGTTTTAGACAGGTGCTAACAGAAATAACGAAATATCAGAGTATGTTCTTTTTAATTGTTATAACTGGCTCAACGGGGACATTTTCACAAATTCTAGCTGTAAACTTCCACTAAGAAGATGTACTTTTCGACAATCAACAAAAAAAATGCTGGAGATCACAGTGGGTCAGGCAGCATCCATAGAGAGAAAGCAAGCTAATGTTTGGAGCTGACAAGAAGCTCTGAGGAAGAATCATCTAGACTCAAAACATTAGCTTGCTCTCTCTCCATGGATGCTGTCTGACCCGCTGTGATCTCCAGCATTTGTTGTTTTCAGTATAGATTCCTGCGTCTGCAGTAATTTGCTTCCACTCTGTACTTTCAGTCAAGCACCTCCCAGGATTTTGGTTACCACTAACACAGCCCAGTATTGGAGCTAATGTTCAGTGAGGAACTGCACTATCACAGTGAACCATATATCCTGGTCAAATCCCTAACCTCTGTTGAATTAGCACTGAAGTAAAAACTTTCTGCAATACTGAGGGCAGAGTGGAAAACGTTCCTGTCCTCAATGGCTGGTCACCGACTCCTACTCAGAACTGAATGAATGTTAAACATGGAACAGGATGATATGAATCCAAGGCATTCACTGCGTGAGCTCATACTTTCAGAATAGCCACTTGAGCAGAGAAAGAAGAGAGTGAACTGTAGTCTTGAAAGGGTTATTGGCGTTAGTTTGGGGAAGAAATATCTAACACAGTAATTCTGTCCAGGTACGATGTCAGAGGTCACATGACACCCAGTTACAGTCCAACAGGTTTATTTGAAATCACAAGCTTTCAGAGCGCTGCTCCTTCATCAAGTGAAGTGGACAATCGTTTCACCTGACGAAGGGGCAGTGCTCCGAAAGCTTTGTTTTCAAATAAACCTGTTGGACTATAACTTGGTGTCATGTGCCCTCTGACCTCATCCACCCCAGTCCAACACCGGCACCTCCACATCACAGGTACAATGTTACATAGGTTTGTAGTCAGTAACCAATGGTAAAAATAAATACATTCCACAACTCTGTTCCATTCTACATTAAAACTCAAGAATTATTATTCAAATTCTATCACCATGAAATTGTTGACATTTCTCTCCGAGTTGTTACAGTGCAGAAGGATGCCATTCGGCCTACTGTGACTGTGCTGGCTCTCTGAGTGAGCGCAGTGGCTTCATGACATTCTCCTGCTCTTCCCCATTACCCTGCACAATTATTTCTATTCAAATAATCATCTAATATGCTGATTGATTTCAATAATTACCATAAGATATACCAAGTAATCAATCTCGTCCACAAAGTATGGAATTACGTTGTAAAACAGATCGAGTCTCTAGAAATATTGAAACAGTTCGAGGCATCCTACCTTCTGGGGAGCATTGATGACACCAGTGTTGTAACCGAACTGGACTGACCCAAGCACTGCAGTGCTCACTGCTAGGATTAACCTTCCAGTAACTTTCTGGGGGAAAAAAAAACAAAGAAAGAGATAAGATCACATTCTGTACTTTGCGTACTAATGGAAACACAGACCCAGAGAGAAAAAAAAGAGATAAAGCACATGGAAAAAGTTGCGAACAGGCTGCATTTCAGGGTAAAGCCTTTCCTGGAGACATGCTTGTACCATTTCATTAAATGCAGATGTTTGGTTTGTGAACACTTTTTTGTTCCCCCTCCCCATTCTTTATTTCTATTCTGGTACAGTTTTCCTTGCATTTGAGTAAGATTCAAACTGTAATTGTAAGTAACTTTACATTTTATAACAATGTTTCCCATTACCATCTATAACATAGCTATTGTTAAACAGGAAAGCTTCAGTTCTCCAGTCAGCTGAATACACTTCCACCTTCCAGAGTCTACAATCCTGCTGTATTTTTGTTCATTCACCGATGGTGGGCAGCATTAGTTAGGCCAACATTTATTGCCCATCCCTAATTGCCCAGAGGGCAGTTAAGAGTCAACCACATTGCTGTGGGTCTGGAGTCACATGTAGGCCAGACCAGGTAGAGATGGCAGTTTCCTTCCCTGAAGAGTTTTTCCAGACAATAGTTTTATAATCATCATTAGATAGTGAATTCCAGGTTTTTATTGAGGTCAAATTCCTCCACCAACAGCCATTTGAAAACAGATCCTCAGAACATTACCCAGGACTCTGGAGAAAGAGTCTAGTGACAATACCACTAGACCATCAGCTTCCCACAGAGTTGATTTGCATATTTTATTCTGCTTCATTAGCAGAATAATTACTTATCTGTTAGCATTAATCATTAGCTTCCCAGACCCCGGTCACATTGTTTAATCCCTTTCCAGCAACTCAGCAGAAAGCCATGGAATGAGGACAGTAGGCATTGTTTGCACTTGACCCTTACTTTCAGCATTTACATTAAGCAGCTTTTTTTACTTCCTGAGTAACACAAAGCCCTGAATTGATTGAAAAACACAAGATTAAACTCACTCAGTAAACTCAGTTGGGCAATTAATTACGACTAACCCTCCCCTTCCCTAAAAATGTCAAATGAGCAGAACCAAAAATGTAAAGCTTTTCCTGTTAAGTAAAGCAATCAGCTTATTTTAAATTCTCAAACTCAATGAACAATTAAATACACGGCCATAGCTGGAATTATGAATTTTGGATCCGACTTAGGAGCCCCCTAGTTTGTGCAAAAACCAAAACTCTTCAGTAGTTTCAGAGCAAACGTTAAAACTTGGAAACTAAAAAGTGAAAATGAAGGAATGCATTCTGCAGGTGATGCAGAGAGAAGCAGAAAAAGTTTCAAGTCATGATCTTTCATCAGAACTGGAAGCTTTTCAAAGTGAACAGCTTTTAAGCAAATACAGCGCTTTGGGATGAACAATAGGTGAGAGGCTGGTGAGGGGGGGGTAGTGTGTGAGGACAGAAGGAGTGAATAAATAGCAAGGTGATGATGATGCTGCACAAAAAGAGGTAAAAATGTGAGAAATACAGAGACAAAAGATGGGTATAAAGGAGGGGAAAATGGTTACAACAAAGGATAGGAAAACCTGGCAAACAGGAGGCTTTTGTTAGGCTAGACTTTGTGAGAAGGAAAAACAAGTAGTGTCTAAGGTACACACGCTATCCTGATGGCTGTATCCCACTTCAAGTATCAGCCCATATCTCCACCACCCCAGATAACCCTTGTGTTTGTCCATTCTGCTATCAAAGGGAAATCAGATGATGCTTGAGGCTTAAAGTTGCTAACCTCAATATTCATACCTGAAGTCTGCAAAGTGCTGAGTAGAAATTGAGATGCTGTACCAATGAAGCTCAAACCAAGCTTGAATAACAATAATAATAAACAAGGCCAAAGGACAAAGGGGTGAGAGTCAGAAAGGAATAAGGTGATCAGTATCTCTGGGTCACTTTAGTGGACTCAGAGGAGGCCTGTAGCATGCAGTTACCCAAACTATGTTCTCCAGTCTCCAACACAGTGTTCACTGCGATCAGTGAGTACAATATTTTAACTCAGAAAGGTTGAGAGTTGCTTCATTTCAAAGGAAGAGTTTAGGATCCTGGATAGTGAGATAAAAGAAGTTTCTAATTGCTTTGATTAGTTCTGTACTTTTTGCCTGTTTGATTGGATATTTTCCACTGTTATCTACCAATTGTCCTTCTTTCCCATTCACATTCTCAACAGTGGCATCATGGGAATATCACTAGACTAATAATCCAATGGTCCAGACTAACACACAGAGGTTGTGTGTTCAAATCCCACCAGAACAGTGGGTGAAATTTGATTTCAGTTCATTAATTTTGGAATTTTAAAAACTACTCTCAAGAATGGTGAGCATAAACTACCACTTACTGTCATTAAAACAAAAAAAAATCATCTGGTTCAATAATGCCATTTAGAGAAGAGAATCTGTCACCCCTACCTGCTCTGGCCTACATGTGGCTCCAGACCCATCTGAAAAGGCCTAGTGAGCTATTCAGCCCAAGGATAGACAACAAATGCTGATCTTAAACATTGAAAAAAACCACCAAAATTTGTGTGCTACAGAACCAGGTTTTGAGAATATAACCTCACAAAAATACTTCAAAATTCTCACAACTAATGTCCAAATGTGTCCAACAATCTCACTATCACCGTGACCCCAAACCTAGCTACACACCACTGAGTACCCTCTATTTCCCCATCCATAACAAACTGAATTACTACAATAAGGAGTCCAATAAAGTACATCCCATTTGGTAAACAAAAAAAAATACAAAATACAAAAACTAAGATTTCAATTCCTAACAACCACCATGCAGCTGAGGCTCCAATGCAGATAAAAAGTAAAATATTTTTTTAAATGATATAATGAACAGTGGCTCTGATCTTCCCAACTCACAGGATCCTGTCATTCAATGGTGAACCTCCTGGTTGGTGATATGTAGAAACACTCTGAATGAGGAGAGACAAGGACAGAGGTAGGTCCCATTTGTTGTGATGAGTATGAAGTTAGTCCTTTTAAGGTGTGTGGAGTGGGAGACATAAATTTCAATCTTGATAGAGAGTGATAGGGTTTCAGGTTTGGGACTTAGGCTTTGTTCAGGGAAGGAAGAGAAAACCTACCTAATGACAACATTGTGGAAGACAAAAGGTGACTCAAGGGGAAAGAGTTCTATCTACTATTTAGGGAGCAATGTCTTGGCCCTAAACTCTGGAATTCCTATGCAAAGCGTATACCTCTCTCCTTTTTCATATGTTCCTTGCCTCTATGACTAGGCAATTGGTCACTTGTCCTTATATCTCTTCATGTGGCTCAGTGGCAAATGTTGACTGAAACCATTCCTGTGGAACACCTAATCAAAAGGCACTATACAAATGTAGGTTACTGACATTGTGGGGAAGAATCTTTTAGCTGTGCTGGGACAATTAGGAGGGCAAGTGTTAAGAGTTTAAAAATAGATCCAGCAAAGATTTTTACAATTTTATTTTGATAGCCCAACCTGGAATTGAACACTACCCCTATAAGGAGGTACTAGGTAACCAACATCTTGGTCAGGAGAGGAATGTCGATCAAAGGTAGAGAGAGAGAGAGAGAAACAGAAAAGATTCAGGTTTCCCTGTTTAAACCTAAGGTCATTGAGGACATTTGGTTCAAAGAGGTCTCTCTTCAGTTTGAAGTTATAATTCAAAAGGATTCAGAATACCTTGAACTACAGTTGACCAAAGGAATGTTGACATTGCGGACAAACATTTTTTCTTTGGTCAAAATATCCAAGCCAATCTACAAAGTATTTTGATGAGCAGTTGAAACCCCACAGCATACAGGGCTACCAGCCAAGTGCTGGAAATTTCTTTATATTCATTCACAGGATGGGGGATTCACTGGCTAGGCAGCATTTATTACCCATCCCTAATTGCCCAGAGGGCAGTTAGGAGTCAACCACATTGGTGTGGGTCTGGAGTCACATATAGGCCAGACCAGGTAAAGATGGCAGTTTCCTTCCCTAAAGGACATTGGTGAACCAGATGGGTTTTTCCAACAATTGACATTGTTTTACAGTCATCAGTAGATTCTTAATTCCAGATTTTCATTGAATTCAAATTCCACCATCTGCCATAGCACAATCTGAACCCTGGGTCCCCAGAACATAGCATGGGGTGGCATGATGGCTCAGTGGTTAGCACTGCTGCCTCACAGTACCAGGGACCTGGGTTCAATTCCAGCCTCAGGTGACTGTCTGTATGGAGTCTGCACATTCTCCCCACTTCTGCTGGGTGCTCTGGTTACCCCCCACAGTCCAAAGATGTACAGGGTAGGTGGATTGGCTAAGTTGCCCATAGTGTCCAAGGATGTGTAGGTTAGGTGGATTAGTGATGGGGAATTGCAAGGATGGGGGGAGGGGGAGTCTCTTTGAAGAGTTGGTGTGGACTTGTTGGGCCAAATGGCCTGTTTCCACACTGTAGGGATTCTATGGAAAAATAACATTCTCTGGGTGAACAGTCCAGTGACAATACCACGAGGCTATCATTTCCTAAACATAGTCTTACATTGGGCAGCAAAAATGCTGTGCTTTAATTTTCCAAATCTATATTTCTACAAGATTCCCATACTAATGGATTGGTCTACTGTTGCCTCCAGTTGCTGACAACAGAAACTTCGGAATCCCACAACCCCCCCTCAAACCTCAGTACCTCACTTCCCACGACTCAGATATTCCTCCAAATCTAATTCCTTCATCAAGCTTTGGTCATCAGATCAAATATATACTTATGTGGTATATTTAGCTTATAACACTCTCCTGAGGTACCTCAGGATGTTTTGTTATGTCAAGAGGGTAATTAGAGTTATTGTATATGTAAAGCCGGTGGTTAGGGGCAGCCAGTGCTGATTATCTCCGAGGGCACAACCAGTCAGGGCTATGAATGAAATCTCAATGGGGCTCACCCTATAACAACACCATGTGTGCACCTCTACACCCCATTCAAGAAGGCAGCTCACCATCACCTT